TTAAGTTGTTTAGAACATAATTCAGGCAATAAGGGGTTAATAGATTGAAAGAGGCTTGGACTCTAGGTCTTTTTGGCATAGAATCATATATATCATGCCGGAAGATTGTAGTGAAACTTTAAAAGAATTTAGTTTGTTTATCTTAAAATACGCTTTTAATTTAATGTAATTATTCTTATTTTTGAATATTATTATTATTTTTTTTTTTTTTAGCTTTTCTTGCTAGTTTTCATTAATTTTTTTCTTTTTTTTCTTATACTGTTTATTATTATATATACTTATTATTGTTTTTATTATTGTTATTATAATAGTTAATATTGCTACTAGTATTATAACTATTATTATTTTTATATATCTATATAGTTTGTTAGCTTAGTTACTATAGTTTTACTTACAACTTATCATTTAACCAATTATAACTTTTTTTTAATATATATTTACGTTATTCTTCTTTTACTATATTAATAGTATTTTTTCATTATTTATTTTAACTGTTAAATAAATATTATTTTTGTTTTACTATTTTATCAATTGAATTATATTTATATTGTTAATAAATACTATTATTATTTTTATTATTTTTGGTTATATTGCTGTTCATATTACTCTTTGTTTCCTTATTTCAGTTCATTCAATCACTTTATTATATAAACTGTACCACTTAAATGTCTACTCACTGCAAAGATTGCTTCAAGAAAATTAATAAAAACCATCACTACCTTCAATGTTATCATTGCCTAAACCTTTTTCATAAAAAATGTTGTCGTCTGAATGATATTGAATTTAGAATATTGAAAAACTCTAAAACATCTTGGTTCTGTATTTCATGTAGGGAAAAAATTTTTCCATTCAGTACTTTATCAGATAAGGAGCTGCACCTGCAAACAATAAATGATAAAGTGATTCATATTAATGAATTCGAAAACAACATATCATCTTTCCCAAACACCGTACAGCCTAATCTTTATAATGAACTTAATGATTTTATTTCCCATCAACTTAATAACAACAATGACAATGACGTAAACCTCGAAGAATACCCTATTAATTGTAAATATATGGACATAGAAAGTTTTAACTCTTCTAACATCGACAAAAATAATTTTTCTCTTTTTCATTTAAATATTGCTTCTCTTGTTAAAAATTTTGACGAATTAAACTCACTTTTATCTCTTATTAATCATAAATTCAGTATTATTGGCATAACTGAAACTAAACTAAAACATGACATTTTACCAACTATCCCATTAAATCTTACCGGTTATGTTTATGAGCACACTCCAACAAAATCTTATTTTGGAGGAGCTTTACTTTATATATCGAATACATTAATTTATGAACTTCGATATGATCTTAATATGCTTAAACCAAAACTTTTAGAATCTGTGTTTGTGGAAATCATAATTCCTAAAAAATCAAACATCATTATTGGCTGTATTTATCGCCATCCTAGTATGGATATTTCAGAATTTATTAATTCATATTTAATTCCACTTTTTGAAAAGCTATCTATGGAAAAAAACAAAACTACTTTTTTAATAGGCGATTTTAATGTCGATCCTTTATTAGCAAACTCAGATAATTCTGTCTCTGAATTTTTAGACACTATTGCTTTAAATAACTTTCTTCCCTTTATTTCATTGCCAACAAGAATCACAAATCACTCCAAAACTCTAATTGATAACATATTTTCTAATGCAACTTCTACAAATATTTTTGCCGGTAGTTTTACTTCTACGGTATCAGATCATTTGCCCCAATTTTTAATACATCCTCTTTATAGAACCAAAATTAATTCTCGTAAAAGCTGCATTTTTCGTCGAAATCTAAAACAAATAAATTGCGTCGAGTTATGTGGTGATTTCTCAAAAATTAGCTGGATTAATGTAATTAATGTCAACGAAGGTAAGACTAATAGGTCATTTGAAGAGTTTTTCTCAAGTTTCAATTCTCTTTTAGATAAACATGCACCATTGAAAAAAGTCAGCAATCGTTGCTTATCAAGGGGTCTCAAACCTTGGATAACACGAGGAATCTTGACTTCTATTAAAATGCGAAATAAAATATTTAAAAAATTTCTTAAAGCAAAGAATCCTAATAACAAACTCAATCTAGAAAAATCTTATAAAGCATATAGAAACTTACTTGTTACTCTCACCCGTCGTAGTAAAAAGAACCATTACTCTAAGTTCTTCTCTGACAATGCCAAAAATTTGAAATCTACATGGAATGGTATTAAGAACCTTTTAAACATTAGTTCGAGAGTTAACTCATCTCCTTCATGCTTATCTTCTACCAACTCCATGATACACGACCCCATTAAAATTTCGGAATCTTTTAATTCATTTTTTGTTTAAGTTCCGGAAGATTTACAGAATAAGATCCACTCATCCAATACTGACTTTAATAAATACCTTAAAAATCCTAATCTTAATTCAATGTTCATAAAACCTACAGACAAAAACGAAGTATTATCGATTATTCATTCTCTTAATGACAGCAAGGCTTCTGGACCTAACAGCATTCCAATACCTATTTTTAAAGCTCTTGCAAATGATATCTCTCCTGTACTTTCTGAACTATTTAATCTGTCATTCACAACCGGTGTATTCCCTGATATTTTAAAAACTGCTTCTGTTATCCCAATTCATAAAAAAGACTCAAAACTTGAACGTAATAACTACAGACCAATTTCATTATTATCAAATGTCAGCAAACTTTTAGAAAAACTTATGTATTCTCGTATTTACAACTTTTTAAATAATTCTGCTTGTTTTCATATTCGACAATTTGGGCTTCACTCAAATCACTCCACTTCTCACGCTCTTATTAGCATTACTGAAATGATTCGTGGTGCAATTGACAGTGGTTCTTTTGCTTGTGGTGTATTCATAGATCTTCAAAAAGCTTTTGATACGGTTGATCACAACATTCTAATAAAAAAGTTAAACTACTACGGAATACGTGGTATTGCTAATCATTGGTTTTCTTCATATATTACGGATCGCACTCAGTTTGTTTCAATTAATGGATTTGAATCCACACATAAAGTTATTAAATATGGCGTTCCACAAGGTTCCGTTCTTGGACCGTTGTTGTTCTTATTATATATAAATGATTTATCTTGTTCGTTAAAAAATTCTATGATACATCATTATGCTGACGATACCAATCTTTTATATATCAACAAATCCCTCACGACTATTTGTAAAAAAGTTAATCAAGATCTTCATCGCTTATGTAACTGGTTAAATAGTAACCGTATTTCCTTAAATGTCAATAAAACTGAATACATTATTTTTCATTCCCCTCAAAAAACTATTGATCATATTAAAATTAAAATTAACGGTAAAAAACTTTTTCCATCAAAATATATAAAGTATCTTGGAATATATCTTGATGAAAACCTATCTTGGTATAATCAACTGTATCATCTAAAAAAAAAACTTACACGAGCTAACAGTATGCTTTCTCTAATTCGTTACTATGTTCCTATCCAAACTCTTCGAATGATTTATTTTTCTTTATTCTCTTCTCACCTTTGCTATTGTTGTATTGTTTGGGGTCAAAAAAGAAACTTTTTACTTAACAACATTGCTAGTTTACAACGCGCATCTATTAGAATAATGACGTTTTCCCCAATGGGATCTGATATCGAAAAAAAATTTTCTGAACTAAAAATCCTAAAACTCCATAATCTTGTAAAGTTTTACAATTGTCTTTTTGTGTTTGACTTTCTCCAAAATAAAATACCAAGCCCTTTTTCAAACTTTTTTATTAAAACAAACGAAGTTCATAATCATCACACCAGGAATACAGAAAATAGTAAGCTATACTATTCTTTTTTCAGCACAATCAAACATGGTAAGTTTTCCATAAAACAACAATGTATCTCTCAATGGAACCAGTGTATTCCTGCATTAACAAAAAAGTCTAAGAAAAAATATCCACTTGTTACGAATTTTTTACTGCTCAACAGAATTCAATTTAAAAATATATAGTTGGAGTGTATTTTTTTATAATTTCTCTCTGTACTATAGTTGTCTTGTGGTTTGATTTTTATTTTATTTATTATTTACCAATCTTATATTTATTTATTATTGTGTTATTAATGTTACATTTTATGTTATTATTATATCTAATTATCATCTATGATTTGTACATACAATTTATATTGTATTATAATATTCTTAATATTATTGGTACTTTATTGTTATTATTTTGTATTATTACTATTATTATTACATATATCATTATTATTTGTTTAACAATCTTTTCTTCTTTTCTTTATTATTTATATATACAGATATTAAGTTTTTCCTTTTTTTTTTTTTTTTTTTTTTTTTTTTTTTTTTTTTTTTACTTCAGTTTCCTTTTTTTTTTTTTTCTTTCTATTTATTTATTTTTTCGTGAAATTTTTATGTTTTTTAGGTGTCACTCCATTGACTAGTTTGTAACTATATGAGTGACACCTAACCAATTTATATTAATTTACGATGAAATTTGTAAATTTTATTGATATGGTTGAATAAAAAAAAAAAAAAAATAAAAAAAAAAATCATGTATTAAACTTAAAGATTTACATGAGGACTTTGCAACGAAAAAGGCCAAAGAAAGCTATAATCAAATAACCATTTCAGGTTTTATGTAACAACTCCCGTCACAGCAATGCTGTAAGTTTATAAAAATAATTTAGGACACTAGTACCTAAAAAATCCAGTTTTGAAACTCTTATCGTTAAAAGCACCCGCATTGCATGAAATTTCTATTAGCGTATACTGTTAGGACAGACAGTACTTTAATCCATTCCTACGTGTGATAAACAAAATACCATGTTTTATAATTATTTTTCCAGGTTTGTTTACAAACTAACGTAAGAATAGGAAACATAAGAAACATAGGAAACATAAGAAGGAAACAAACGAACAAATACTAACATTACTTTGTTGTTACATTTTGTTTATTTCCTTCTTATGATAATGCAAACATAAAACAAAATGTTAATAGAATAATCAATTTAGTTGAATAAATTATGCGCGATATGAAACTTAATTATGCTGCATAATTATGCGCGATATGAAACTTAATAATTGTACCAGTCGAGAAACAGTAAAGAAAAAGTACACATAACTAGAAAGAATAAAATCCAAACGCGGAATGTAGCACTGTTTTTGATTGCCTAAAATAAAATAAAAATAACTACACTTAAAAAAAAAACAACTTATTCACATTTTATATATATATATATATATATATATATATATATATATATATATATATATATATATATATATATATATATATATATATATATACATATATATATATATATATATATATATATATATATATATATATATATATATATATATATATATATATATATATATATATATATATATATATATATACATATATATATATATATATATATATATATATATATATATATATATATATATATATATATATATATATATATATATATATATATTAATGTCTTCATTAAGCTCGTTTGTTATTGTTGCACAGTAGGCCAGAAAATACCAAAAGTTTGCAAAAATAGGAAGCATCTACATATATATAAATCTATTTTACTAGTGTTTTTGGAGTTTTGGGTTTTTGAGTCCTGACCACTCTGATCGGCGCGCTATACAGTGGCGCAATTCGGATTTTTTGATGTTACAGACCTTTACAGGCACTTTCGGACGTTGTACAAACTCCAAACTTAGGTATCTTAATGATTGTGTCAAATGATGTTTTGCAAAAAATTGTAATGATTAGAGCATGTAAACAAAAAAACACCAAAAGCCTTTACCCTGAATGTGAGGGCAACAAATTAATGAATTTATTTATTATACTGTTTTATACTAAATTTAACTTTATGCGCAGGTTTTAAAATTTATGGAATAAACTTTTAAAGTTAAAAATTTATGACCATTCAAAATTTACAAACATGGTCACATGGTCATAACCTTTGAAATCTATAAAATTATTTGATGAAATTTAAAATTTCTCCATGATTTTAAAATAATTTATTTCATTAACTTATTGTCCTTACATTCGAGGTAAAGAGGCCAACTTTTGAAGGTATTTTTATTCCCAAGAACCAATTACTGCAGTTTTTTTTGCAAAACATCATCATTGCAGTTGTTTGAACTCTTTACAAATTGTTGAAACATTTTTCAGCACAAAATATCTTATTTGTGAAATATATATATATATATATATATATATATATATATATATATATATATATATATATATATATATATATATATATATATATATATATATATATATATATATATATATATATATATATATATATATATATATATATATATATATATACATATATATATATATATATATAAGTTGTTCTAAGGGTGGTCCTTAGAACAACTTTTTTAAACGTCTGCTCTCACCCTTTAAATGTGTTCTATATAATAATACTAGAATTAAAAATTTTCGAAATAAATAATTATTATTTTTGAAGTTTTATATAATTTCGCTAATTTTGAGACCATGATAAGAATATCATGGTCTCAAAAAAAAATCTTTTGAAGAACTATTTTTTTGATAGTTATAGGGACCAGTCAAATGTTTAACTATGAAGAAATATTTTTGAATTCCACAAAAATAGATTATTTCAGAATGTCACAGCTGTATTCTTAATATTTCCAGATATTTCACGATTTTTAAATATTATTTAACAACTTTTTGACTTTGAAGCGCACTAAAAACTATAAAAAGTTGATGATTTATAAAACAAAAATTCTTTATGTATGCATAAATATTTATTTATGTATGCATGTTGATTACAAATGACTGAAATAGCCAATATAAGAATCATATAATACGACCTTTTTATATTTTTGTTTTAGGTGCCACACGAAGATATAACGGTCTTGTAACAGAGCACCACGGAAGATGACGCGAAATATGCCCAGAGCTCGTTTCGAACCCTGGATCTCTTGTTTCTAATGCAAGATTTTTAACCGCTGCACCACACCTTTTTTTTTGACCTTTTTGATAAACTCTGGCCCAATGTGTGTTATCATAAAAACAATATAGTTGTTGCTACTATAAAAAAAGTTTTTCCGGTTCAATACTTGTTAGATAAAGGAATGTCGGACAAATGTTCATCAAATAATCAAAAACTATTTGAATGTACAGTTATTTCCCGGAACATTAGTTCGGGATCGATTGGGATCAGAACATTGGAAGATCGGAACACTTGAACATTGGTTAACTCAATCTTTTGTTATCTCGAACAAAATTTTTCTGTTATGTTAACAAATCTTTTCTATAGTTCCTTGAAAGCAATAACAATTGTTTTACTTTGTTTAAGTCAAACATTCGTTTAGTCGAACCGTTTTCTTTGGTCTCTTGGAGGTTCGAGTTAACGGAAATTTACTGTGCTTCCATCATATACTTGTCAAAAATACTTTTTTTTTTTGTTACTACGTTTAGATCATTAGAGTTTTTGTCTAAAAACATTTCCTGAGTTATGTCTGCTTTTTTTTAAATACAAATATTTTTTAGTTTTTATGCCATAGATAAATTAGCGATTGGTTAAACAGTAGCAATGTCATTATTTAAGCCTTTTTTTTTCTGTTTTTTGTTTTTTATTTTACATTTTTTTGAATATAAATTCCATCGTTTTTTACAGTTGGTAAACTTGTGTTTTTAAGTTTCTTGTATATTAGACATTCTGGTATTCAGTTAAACATTTTTGAAATTCTCGTGTAAATGAATCCTTGAATATCGTTATTGTAATTTTTGCCATTTAAATTTTTTTTTTCCAGTTCTTTAAAAGTGTCTGTCACAACTGAATTAATCGTTCAGTTAAAAGTCTATGCCATATTTCTTTCACTCTTTTTTTAATTTGTGATTGTTATTTTACATTTTAGTTCATCAATTAATAAATACCTATTTATGTACCATAAAAGTTCTTTTTGTCTGTCCTTTGTTTTTCGACAGGTTGGTTATAAAGACAGGCAAAACAGATTAGTTAAAAGTTTACATACATACACACATGTACATATCTAAACATACATAAATACAAAGATACAAATACACTTTTATGTACATGTACACAAAAACACATTTACTTACATTTACACGTACACAATTTTTTGCAATATCAACAATACTTCTAATAATTGTGACTTTATTGCATATATTAAAAATGGCAAAACTTTCTTTAACAGAAAAAAACAAATTTGGGTTTGTTAAATGGTGCAACACGTCTAAAAATGTCATAGCTTTTTCTTAAGGACTGTTTATCACACTAATTCTTTTTTAGAGCAATATTCAAAAATGCGTTTGGTTACTTAATTCATAAATTATAATGTAAGATCGACTAGGGAAGGATGAGTAGAAGTGAGCTACGGGTAGAAGTGAATCATTATTCCCATTGGCCAAGAAAATGGCTCCAAAATTTTACTAAATCTGACTTTAAGTATTTCAAATATTACAATGCCTCGAGTGCATAGAAGAACTACTTTAAAAACAAAAACTTCCAGTAAAGATATGAAAGAAGCATTAATTTTAATCCAAAAAGGAAAAAGTAATAGAGATACCGAAAAAACCTCTAACATCCCAAATGCAACACTTCGTCGTTATTGGAAAAAAAAAAAATGCTGGTTGATGAAAATAAAAGATGGACTCTGAACTATTAAAATAAAAGAATATTCACAGATGAGCAAGCGTTACAACTGAAGGAATATATTCTGACCTGCTCAAGAATGTTTTATGGCCTTTCAATAAAAGAATATCGACGTACAGCTTTTGAGATAGCAACTATCAGTAAAATTAATATTCCACAAATGTGGAACAAAAAAAAAATTGCAAGCATCCAGATTTGTCCCTTGAAGGAACATTAAATGATGTTGCTTTAAAAAGAGAACACTTTAAGAAAGTTTCTATTGTCAGGGCAACATCATTTAATGCCCATAATGCAGCTATATTTTTTGATTAATTAAAAGAAGTTCTTGCAAGATCACTAACATTCACAAATGGAACACAGATTTTTAACACTGATGAAACTATGCAGAACCAATAAAAAGTATGGTAATTTTCAATAAATTGTGTATTTTTATTAGTTTTTTTTTTTTTTTAAAGAAAACTACTTGATTTTAAGGTTTTTGCTAAGGTAAAAGTATCTGCAAAGTTACAAGTGCTGAAAGAGAAACACTTGTCACAACTTGTTTAATAATCAGTACTTCTAGACAATATATTTTGCCAGTACTTATTTTTTCACAAGTGCATTTCAAGGAGATCATGTTGTCAGGAGCTCTTTCTGGATCTCTTGGACTCGCATGTAAAAGAGGCTGGATGAACAGTGAAATCTTGTTGGATGTTATGAATTACTTTATAATTTTTTCATTGAGCACTAAAGAAAATCCATTGTTACTAATACACGACAATTGGGAAGCTCACTTATTCATAGCAGTATTAAATAAAACAAAGAGGGATGGAATGACCAATTTGACATTACCACCTCATTCCACACAAAGTTACAGCCTCTTGATGTGTTATGGGACCATTTAAAACTGCATATAATACAACAATTGATTCATGGATGCTCTGCAATCCTGGAAAAATATTTACAATTTACCAAGTAGACAGACCTTTTGATATTAAAAATAGTTTTATAAAAAAATAATGTAAATATTACATCTGAGAATTTACCTTATCCATATCTTTCAACAAATGAAAACCCCACTGCTTCTAATATTAAAGATTTGAACATACTGCAATCTCCACTTCTTTTTGATTCAAATAAACCAGTCGATACTAATTTATCAACTAGATAAATACTCACTACTTCCTGTACCTTGGTTCACTCCTACTCACATATAAGTAGGAGTGAATCAGCAGAAACACCTGCATTATTTTTTTAATTTTATAAAAATCTGAAGATACTTTGATATGTTTTTTTATTTCTATTAGAAACTCAATACATCAAGCTACTTTAGTACTTTAACTACTACTTTAGTCTACTTATCTTTTTTTTTTTTTCACTCTTGGTTTCTTTGCTTTAAAAAAAAGTGACTCACTCCTACCTGTTCTCCCCTACATATAAATCAACTTTTTCAGTTCAGATTTTCTACAACCAAATTAAAAGGTTGCAAACGTGGTATTATACTTGACAGCAATTTTACTTTGATT